GTTCTCCTTTGATTTCTTAAGGACCAGGAACAGTATGGAATATAAGCTTTGAAGAAGGTGGTTCATTTGCCTGAGCATAGCTTTCTTCCTGGATGGATTGAGGAAGTCCTTTTGAATTCTGTAGCATCAGCCTTCGAAAGAGATAGGTGCCCCTTCCCCAGGGGAATGTTGGAGGTGGGATGCAGTAATTGATTCCTCTGAGGGACATTTCTGGAGAAGGAGTCACTTCTGGGCTTAACGGGCCTGGTTTTCTTCCATCTATTTAGGCCATTGTCTCTCCTACCACGTCTGTACTAAGTGCCATAACCCCCAAACCACTGCCTAGGGCAGAAAAAAACAGATTTATCATAATTAAGAGACAAGAGATTGGATGCAATTTTTTCCTATTGGTTTTCTGGGAAAAAAACCTCCCCTAAGTATGGGTTTGCTATCAAAAACCTGTCTTGTAGAAGTATCCACCTTCCATGGCCAGAGCTACAGATGCCTTCTTGCTATCACAGTGTATGGACTCGACCTGGTGAAGGCACTGAAAGCTTTCGAATGAGGCCTCTAAAACCAGAGCAGATGTTAAGGAATTTCTCTTTAAGGAGGATCCCATCCCTTTGGCCCTTTTCTCTTTTTGGAGGAAATGTCAGAGAGCAGGAACTCTATATAAGCAAGTTCTGCTCTGGTGGGGGAAAAACATGCTCTCTTCTGAGGCTCTGAGAGCTTCCGAGACAGACTGTGCGTAGAGCTAATTCCGCCCTTCTGTCAGTACAAACTTGGGTAGGATGTTTTTGTTTTTTTTAAACTCAGATGCTTTGTCTTTGCTGGGTTTACCATTCTGCTTCAGGCTGTAAAGGCAGGAAAGCCAGGATGGAAATGTAAGGTTCAGTTTTAGAGCCCACTGGAAAATATTTGTGTGTATTTTAGGTCTCTTTGACCTCCACCTCATCCCCTTTTTAATCCTTTGTGTGTGAATGCTCAGGAGAGATACCCCAAAACAGTAAGAACCTTCTTCAGAGACACAAAAAACTGCAGAGATTCCTGGGGATCCTCTGGGGTTGTTGTGTTGGAGGTTTTTTTTTTTTTTTGGCACTTTAAGTCTGCATTTGTGACCCTTTTTCTGCCTAGAGGGAAGAATAGCAGGATAGAGGGCTGAGGATTTGGAGTCAGAAGACTCTGGGGAGGGAAGCCTATGCTTTTCCACTGAGGGGGATTCTAAGATAGCTGCCAAGAAGCAGACCAAAAGCCTGTTCTCAAATGGCTGCCCATAGCACATGAGCTCCTGACCCCACCACAAAATGGCCACCCTGACCCCACTACAAAAACAGAAGAGGGGATAGAGGCAGGAAAAAACTTATTTACCTGTGCTTCTGGCAGCTCTCAGGATACCTGAGGAATGGAGGGTGTCCCCTGAGTGCAGTATGCCCTCTGCAGGGAGGGCGGGGTGGTCCTGGCAACACATGTTGCCCCCTGTTGTGCCTGGGCTGGGGGAGAAGAGGGGAAAGTGAACTGGGGACCTGGGGCTTTACCATGCACCAGTTGTGTTGACTGGAGCTCCTGGGGGCTCCACCATGGATGCTTCTGGTGTGGGAGACCTGGCAATGTGGTTCGGTCTGCATCAGTGCCACAGATTGGGCCCATGTCCTGGGTCCTTTGTTTGTCTCCTGGAGGCTTCTAAAGTGCACCCTCCTGGGATGGGACACCTGGTGATGGGGCCCAGTCTGTGTCCGTGAACACAAATTGGATCCTGATATCCTGGGCACTTTCCTTCAGCACTTGTCTGCCTGAGGCCACTGCCGCACTGTCCTGTCAGCAACCTGCTTTCCAACTGTGATAGCAGTGATTTTACAGAAGCAAAAGGAACACTTTCCCCCTTCAATACAATTGGCCAAGGGTGACCTTGCCCTTGGCCTCTTCCTCTTTTTATGCTTTCTTAGCCACTATCGGGACTAATTTTGGAGGTCGGGGTGGGGGAAAGAGAGAGCTTGGTAAAAGTCCCTGCAATTTCCCAGAGCTGCATAAGGTAAAATTTTAATGGCCCTTAAACAGCCCCCACACTAAAAAAGTGGAGAGCTAAGGAAACAGAACCTAGAAAGAAGGCAAAATGAATAAAGTATTAATAAGGCTATGGACAAGTATCAGGGGGTAGCCATGTTAGTCTGTATCCACAAAAACAATGAGGAGTCTGGTGGCACCTTAAAGGCTAACAGATTTATTTGAGCATAAGCTTTTGTGGGTAAAATAAACCCACTTCTTCAGATGCATGGAGTGAAAATTACAGATACAAGCATAAATATACTGGCACATGAAGAGAAGGGAATTACCTTACAAGTGGAGAACCAGTGATGACAAGGCCATTTCAGTCAGGGTGGATGTGGTCCACTCCCAATAACTGATGAGGTGGTGTCAATACCAAGAGAGTGAAAATTGCTTTTGTAGTGAGCCAGCCACTCCCAGTCCCTATTCAAGCCCAAATTAATGGTGTTAAGTTTGCAAATGAATTGTAGCTCTGCAGTTTCTCTTTGAAGTCTGTTTTTGAAGTTTTTTTGTTGAAGTACGGCTACTTTTAAATCTGTTATTGAATGTCCAAGGAGATTGAAGTATTCTCCTACTGGCTTTTGTATGTGACCATTCCTGTTGTCTGATTTGTGTCCATTTATTCTTTTACGTAGAAACTGTCCAGTTTGGCCAATATACATGGCAGAGGGGCATTGCTGGCACATATTACATTAGTAGATGTGCAGGTGAATGAGCCCCTGATGGTGTGGCTGATGTGATTGGGTCCTATGATGGTGTCAGAGTAGATATGGGAACAGAGAGGGCAATGGGGTTTCTTACAGGGATTGGTTCCTGGGTTAGTGTTTCTGTGGTGTGGTGTATAGTTGCTGGTGAATATTTGCTTCAGGTTGAGGGGGTTGTCTGTAAGCAAGGACTGATCTGCCTCCCAAGGTCTGTGAGGGATTGTTTTCCAGGATAGGTTGTAGATCATTGTTGATGTGCTGGAGAGGTTTTAGCTGGGGGCTGTATGTGATGGTCAGTGGTGTTCTGTTATTTTCCTTGTTGGGCCTGTCAATCTGTTTCCTCACTTCCCCAGGTGGGTATTGTAGTTTTAAGAATGCTTGATAAAATAATCTTGTAGGTGTTTGTCTCTGTCTGAGGGATTGGAGCAAATGCAGTTGTATCTTAGGACTTGGCTTCAGACAATGAATCGTGTGATGTGTCCTGGATGGAAGCTGGAGGCATGTAGGTAAGAATAGTGGCCAGTAGGTTTCCGGTATAGGGTGGTGTTTATGTGATCATCACTTAATTGCACTGTTGTGTCTAGGAAGTGGATCTCTTGTGTGGACTGATCTAGGCTGCGGTTGATGGTGGGGTGGAAATTGTGGAAATCCAGGTGGAATTCTTCAAGGGCTTTCTTCCCATGGGTCCATATGATGATGATGTCATCAATGTAGCACAAATAGAGGAGGGGCACTAGGGGACAACAGCAGAGGAAGCATTGTTCTAAGTCAGCCATAAAAATGTTGTCATACTGTGGGACCATGTGGGTACCCAGTGCCACTGACTTGAAGGTATAAGTTGTCCCCAAATCTGAAATGGTTGTGGGTGAGGACAAAGTCACAAAGCTCAGCCACCAGGTGTGCCATGGGCTCATCAGGGATACTGTTCCTGACAGCTTGTAGTCCATCCTCGTGTGGAATATTGGTGTAAAGAGCTTCTACATCCATGGTGGCCAGGATGGTGTTTTCAGGAAGATCACCAATGCATGGTAATTTCCTCAGGAAGTCGGTGGTGTCCCAAAGATAGCTAGGAGTGCTGTAGCGTAGGGTCTGAGGAAAGAGTCCAAATAGCCAGACAGACAATCTACAGAGAATGTGACTCATCACTTTTGGAAGCAGAAAAAAATATGGAGGCACTCTTTGGTATAAGAATTATCTGGCGAGTAAGTCCACCCATCTGTCTCCTATAGCATGAAGGACTACTGAATTTATGGCCTCATCCCCAAAGAAAGAATGGGTTAAGAGACCACATCTCTCTCTCCACTGGCTGGGTTCACCTTAAATCACACGTACTGACAGAGCCCATCTTTGAACTTGTGACAAGCCAGGCATTCCCAATGGAGATTTTGTGATTCTAAAACTCATTTTCATTACAGAGCAAGACGAATCCCCCAGCATCATCTAGGTCAGTGCTACTCAAAGTGGTGGTCTGAGTCATTGGCGGCCAGTCTGCATGCACATTGGAAAAAAAAATGCTAGTCCCCCACATCAGATAGCTTGAGAAGCACTGATCTAGGTCACAGGTCATTAGACTGGGTCTCAGGAGATCTGGGTTTTATACCCAGCTCTACTGTTAATTTCACGGTTGTGCTTAGGCAAGTCACTTTTGCCTCTACTTCCTCATCCACTTTTTGTCTTGTCTATTTAGTCTATAAACTCTTTGGGGCAGGGACATGATATATTTGTATAGTGCCTGGCACAACTAGATTTACTATACACAACAAGAAGAATTTCACCACCTTTAGATCACTTTGCCAGAAGCACCAGTTCAAGTAGGCATTTTCCCCAGGCAGCAGTGACATAAGAAAACCAACACAACTTACTGTAACAAAGTGGCTTAGAATAAGTGGGTGAAAGTTTGCCTTTTAGAGGAAGAATGGTCTAACTTTAAGGGCCCCATCCTACAAGCCCTCCCTGTGTTGAGCTCTCAACATATCCTGTGTAACATGCTCTCTAGTGACGTTTAGGCTCAGGTTAACTTTGATATTCAGAATCAGAAGCCCTACCCAGGCGGCAAGTGTCAAGAGATGAGGCCAATGGTAGATTTCCAAAATCAGGCCCTACATTTGAAACTGATTATGATAGGTACTTTAAAAATACATATAATAAAATTATTTAAAAAACAAAACTGGGAAATCACAGCCTTTTCTATCTCTGGAGTGATATGGCATAACTTCTGGCTCCCAGACTCTTGAAGATACAGGAGATGCACTACAGCTTCAATTGCATTTTTACCTTGAAACAGCCAAGTTTTTAGGTGTTTACAGCTTCTGATGGCCCTGAAATACAAAAGAAATAATTAACCACCACAAACATAAAATTCCATTATTGATACAAGTTCTACTCTTATGTCATTCATACTGACCAAATACAATAGGAAAATGGAATTCTGCAACCACCACATTAAAGTAATCCATTGTGAGCATACAAATTAATGTTTTTTCAGACACAAAATATGCAGAAAAGATGAAAGGAACAAGTCCTCAAGCGTGCTAAAATACTGAGAGGTGGATTTGCTGAACAATCAAAATGCTTTCACTACAGAGAAAAAAAGAGACTAGACATACAGAAAAAAACATGACACAACCACTGAAATTAAATTACTTCTAATGAAGGTGTGATGCACAGAAGAATTCAAAGTCCTATACCATGTGAAGCAAAGAGATACATAAAATAACTGCCTTAGGAGTATAGACATATAAATGAAGGAAATGTGCTCACTGAACTAGAACACCCAAAATACTTTGCAATATTCTCCTGATTACTAGAGCATGGTGACTATATGAGCAGACCACAAAAAGGAAATGGAGAAAGAACAATTACAGGTAGAGTGGTGAGGGGAGCAAAAAAGCTCTTTTAAAAGAAAATAATTCTATACCGTTTTAGTTCACTAAGATTTTGAATAAATTGTTATAGAATTAAATTTTGGAGAAGAATCCAGAGAAGCCTGGGAGATGTTCTTTAAAGTTCTGAATGTCTCTTGAGACTTTTTAGGTAAAAAATATACAGTATTTAAAACTAATTGAATGGGATGGCTGTTTCAGGTTTAAAATAATTAACAAATAGGGACTTAATTCAGCACAGGTATAACTTCAGTGACTTCAGGGGAATTATTTATGCCAAGGCTCAATTAGGCCAACTACGTATATACTTAAAAATACATAGTTAATGAATAGTTGAAAATTATTTCCTGAAAGCTTATAGTTCCGGGTTTTGTGATTCCCTCAGGTACTACTAGGTGAGTCTCTGTCCCCGTAAGTTTAGGGGTAAATGCTGCATCATATTGCCATATAGGATCATCCAGCATTTAATACTCTGTAGTACATAGACACAACAGGAATGGTGAAGGATGAAGACCCACCTAAATATCCTGGGATGTGTGTAGATGGGAAGTTTCCATATGTTTGATATTATTTGAATGAGCTTCTCTATAAAGATAGGGCCTGATCCAAGTGCCAGTAAAGTCAGTGAAAAGACTCCCATTTTCATTTTTAAACCCGCAATTAGAAGTGAAAAGCAAACATGGAATCAAATTATTTGCTTTGATACCATACATGGCTATGACACTTTCTTGGGTTTCCAGGACTGACTGGCACCTTCATACCCCACTGCCCTGAGAGGAGGACTTACTGGTGCTTAACTGGATGACAACTCTGTTTGTTTGGGTGGCTAACAAGGGTGATGTCAACCACCTCAGGCTATGCCAGCCCTTATTTTGCCTTGCAGTTAATGCCTATTTAACATCACAATACAGATAGTAAAAAACAAAAACAAGCTTATCAATCATCAAAAGATTAAGATTTAAGAGCAACGATAATTAGAAACAAAATGGTTATATTAAAAAAAATCATAAAACACAAGCCTGGATCTACACTTATCGATCATTGCCTTTCCTATATAATAAAGGGAGATTTTCCCCCAAAGGTTTAGTCTTTTGCAGAGCTAGCTGATTTCAGCCAAATCAGGATCCAAGCACTCATGGAGCACCCCTTTTCCATCAGAGATTTTCCAGGGTGAATGGATTACAAAATGTCTCCTTGCATTCTACTTATATTCTTCAAAGTAGATTTTTTTTGCCCCCAGAGAGAGAGGACAAACACCTATGACCTAGTCTCCTGGGTCTTCCTGTCCCCTTGTTGATTTCATATGTAAATTGGACTCTCATTGTGTTGGCACAGAATGCTTAATTTACATGAACATGTGCACCAAGATAGTCAGGTGACTCTACATCCTAACTCCTGTTTGAAGAAACTGGTTTTTCCCCCTTTAATTGGTTACAGACTTTAAAAACATATATTCAGTACATGTATACAACTCAGATATAATCCTTACATACATCTCACAATGATTATAAGGATCAGTCTGACAGAAGCTTTTATTAGTGACCTTACATGACATTCCAGCTGGTACCAATGGGTCTGTGGCACAATGGCTAGTACATCCAATCACCACAAAATGCTTTACAGTCATAAATAAAGTCTCACATCTCCTTCCAGTGGGATAGTTTTATTAACATTTTGCATGTGGGAAAAACTACAAACCTCTCTGTGCCCAAGATGACCCATCAAGGTAGAAAGGATGATCTAGTAGTTAGGGAACGGGACAGACTCAGGTTGAGTTCCTAGCTCACCCAGACTTGCCCAAGGACACACAAGACTATATCTACACTACAAGCTAGTGCTGTGATTTTCAGCTCACATACACATACTCATGCTCTCATCCATCAAGCTAGCACAAGTATAAATGGTAGGGTAGCTTGAACAGCAGCACAGCTTAGCCATGCAGAATACGTACCCACTGGTTTCAGACAGGTTTGTACCCGTCTCCTCTACCACTGCCCAAGCTACTGCAGCTACACTAGCTCAATGAGAGCTAGTGTGGGTATGTGTGCACAAACTGGGAATCACACTCTTAGGCTACATTTACACTACAAGCTAAGTCTCTCTGACTCTCATTTTCCCCATCTGTAAAAATAGGATATGCTCTCCTACATCAAAGGGTGGAGTGAAAAGAAATACATTAATGGTGAGGCTACTCACACTAGGGTGATGAGGGCTAGATATACAGATCAATTGATTTGTGCCAGATTTGGGGGAAGAACTAGCATCTGATACCTTGCTTTCCCAAGAGGACAGAGCTTTGATTATTATAAAGAAACTAAGTTACAAAAAATGATGGATTAATTGACAGTGGACTACAGCTTTTTAATATGTAGGGATGAAGTTAAAATGCAAATTGTAAATTTATATATAGATGTAGAATGAACATCTCAGATTATTTTTCTTAAATTAAAAGAGCTATTAGAAAACTGTAGCACTCCATGGCTAAGCGTGGCAGATGGCATATACGAGGGAGTGGTGTGCATTTACAGTAAACAAATTCTTTATCTTTGATGGGTCATGGGGAGAACAAAAATGGTCTCCAATTCAGTCAGGGAGTACTCTGAAAGATACTGACATTCAAATATACTAATTACGGTGAAATATATTAAACTGAGATTAAAGAATTGACGGAACCTTCTTTTATGAAGTTTTTTTACATGTGGCTTCCGGAGCTGACAGCATGATGTAATTTGTGATTGTGCTGCAAACTGTTCAACACCTGCTACTGAGAGGATACTGTCAAGGGTTGGGTGCCACTGATGTGGCCAACTTTCAATCCTGGTGTTTGAGGACATGTTATGGAACTCATTAGTGACCTTTGTACCTGGGGTGTCACACAGAAAGACTATACAACTGACTTAGTTGCCTTACAAGGCAGAAAACAAACCTCAAAACTGCTAAATATTATAGAATTCATCAGCCGAGGAGACTAATCTACAGCAATACAATTAGAATTTTTCTAATAATGAGATTAATAGTATGAGCACTCTTCACGTAATGTTTATATAAAGTTCAGATAAAACATTAATGAAGTGTTGCATTTTTTCCATATAAAATATGTTTTTAATATTAGCAGCAAAAAAATGCTGAAGCCAAACAACGTTCACCAAAGGAATTTTGTCTGGATTTTAAAATCTAGCCATGAACATTCCATGGAGATTGTACATCTGCATGTGCCTAACTTGTGTGCTCACACAGTAAATGTGGATGTACAAACCAGTTATTTGCCCAGGCTCATCGGTATGCCCGACTGGCCATCTGAGCTTGCAAATAATGGATTGGCTCACTCACATCTAGTATTTGCATTAATAAGCTCGGCATGCACATGTATATGCATGCATTGATGAGTGCCTGCTTTGAAAATCTGAACATTTGTGGTCATTCTGCCAACGTCTGATTTACAGTTCTTTTTCTAATGTGCACACTGGACACCCTATTTGATCCAAGCGGTTAGCCAGTTTGGAGTCTTGTGGGTTGTTTCATCATCAGTGTCTCTTCCTAATGTAGTCAGGTATTTCTTGGTGTACATTCCTTATAAACAAACAGGGTTGCATCAAAGCCCTGTTTTCCTGAACACAGTAGAATCAAACAGGAGACAGTTTCATTGCTCAATCTTCCAAGCCTTTTTCTCCAGCCAGAACTCTTAGCTTTCTCTCAAGATCATGCTACAAGCACTTCTCTGGCTGTCCTTGGCTTTCTGCTGCCTTCTCTGTTGCTTGTGGCATTTCAACTGTTTTTTTCTCTCTTTCACACACACACCTCTTCATCAAAAAAATACCCAGGCCCTGTATTTGCATCAGCCCACATAGCTTAGTTTATGACTGGCCTTGCAGGGGGCCTATCTTTTAGGCAGTTGCTCCTATAGTTTCAGCTATTTTATTCCACAAGGAGCTCAACTGCTTCCTACATTTATCCTGTTACACCCGTGACAGGTGATCCATCCCCTGGGTGCAGTCTGGGAGCCATGGGAACCACTGTACCCCTCTAACTACCCAGCTGGGCTGGTCCTTTTTCCACACTGTTTGGTTGGAAACACAGCCAGCCTCACCAGACCCTGTTATCACCCAACACAACAGCAGGTGGTGCCACTCACCCAAAATGAGCTACCTGAGTGCTGTACTTAAGCCACCCAACTACAAACAGCAGACACCAGCCAATTCCTAGCTCCCCAGGCACGCATCCCCCCATTGGAGTAATAAACCCCAAATTATACCATCTTGCACTGCATCAGTACAGTGCAAGCTCATAAACAGTTAGGTCTCCCCTCAACAAGCCCGTGTTAACCAAGCTGAGATGTTTTTCCCCCAGACACTTTACTCAAAGGCACACTGGTTTAGATAAACCAAAAAACAAGTTTAAAACTATAGAAAGATAGATTGTAAGCGATAGCAAACAGATCAAAGCAGATTACCTAGTAAATAAACAAAGACGCAAACTAAGCCTAACATACTAGATAGATCAGATATGAATTAGCAACTTCTCACCCTGACTGATGATAGAAGCAGTTCACCATGTTTCCATACACAGCTAGAAATCCTTTTAGCCTGGGACCAGCACTTCCCCCAGTTCAGTCATTGTTCCTCAGGTGTTTCTAGGTCCTTGTGTGGGGAGTGAGGCCCCTAGATGTCACACCCCACCTTATATAGCTTTAACATATGGCAAGAACCCTTTGTCCCCAAAAAAAGTTCAGAGCCCAGTTTCTGGAAAAATACAGGTACCCAAAATGGAGTTCAGTATCATGTGGTCTGGTCACATGCCCTTGCTGAGTCATAGCAGCCATTGCTTACAGGCTGGTTGAAACGTTTACAGGAAACTAACCTTTTCCATAGTCCATTGTCTTTGCTGATGGCCCATCAGCACTGTCTAGCTTCTTCATTGTTGTACCTTAAAGGCTAGTTCTGAGTGTTCCCAGAGTAAGAACATTTGAAATACAGATAGCAAGTCAATATTCATAACTTCAGATACAAAAATTAAGTTAAAAATATTAAGCCAAGTTCTGAACACATTACCTCGCAGTTTCTTATCTCATAAGCTTTCAATAGCCTCATCTTGTCTGGCCAATTATTAAAGGGACTCTTTAATAACTAACTAGATTCTATAAAAGCTATTTCCCTGAGGTTTTATTACAGTAGCTATCAGAGTGACATCAAGATCAAAGTTATTTCACCTTTTTTCTTTCATTGGATTATTGAAGACAATTTGTTTTAAACAAATAAATATTCTGCTGCTGCATTTGGATCCCAAATGTTGCAGCAGTAAGGACCTGAAAGGAAAGCTGCTATCATTGATTGTCATTATCCAGAATGCTAAATGAAAACAAAGCTCATAAATAGTGATGAGTACTCTGTTTTTTTGTTTTGTTTTTAAATCTTTCACTTTTAGTAATGAGGTGTTATCAGGTAGAGAGATGTGCTAGTTTACACCATAATATTTTAAAACTCACTGTGCTCATTTAACATTTCATCCTGAACAAGTTCTCTTTGGTGTTTGTTCCTTGAGTCATTCTGCCAAAACCTCAACATAATGAAACATGGGCTTTTTCACCCTATTTATCCAAGTTAGGCAATCCTACATAGTCTTTCAAAGATCATTTTTGGCAAGTTACATACACCTGCCTCTGTATTATGAATCATAACTAATTACCTTGATACTCGTCAGACAACTGTTTAACACAGTGGGTTGACATATGTAGGTGCAACTCTATTATCTTCAATGTCCTAAAAGCTTATGATGGACTGCTGTAAGTATAAGTGTTTTAGGTTCTAAAAAGGTACTTTGTCATGTGGCTCATTTGACCCAGAAAGGCTGGGACTGCACCTTGTTCACACTCAAGTAATGTGCTGAAGAGGATGTCTTTGCACAGCTATGGTCATTGCATCTTTCATTGAAAGTTATGTGCTCTTTTGGAATACATGACTGATGATGGAGATTATCAGATTTGAAAGCAATAGAAAGACTTTTCAGGAAAAACGGGCGTGACCATGGGATGTGCTTTAAGTTTTACAAATATATATGTGTGTGTGTTTTCAGAAATAAAACTATAGTGTGGTTCAGATGCTTTATCCAAACCCCCACATTCCAGCAGGATTCAAATAAGTTACCACAGTTTTGAACTCTCTACTTGACCACGTTCTTACACTATGTAAAGGAGTTGAGTAATATGGGGCCAGATTTTAAAGGTGCCGTTTGCATACACCCAGCTTTTTTTTTTAATATAGTTGATTCGCAAAATGGGAGTGAATGCAAAAAATCTGGACCCAAAACCTCAGCCCTCTGTGGAACCCTTTGAAATGATCCAACAGTGAAAAGGGGGCATAATACTAGCTTAAAACTACCAAAAGGAGGATTCCTTAGGCAAGAAGAGAATCCCCAGGTGGAACAGAGCCTCCAAAGTGCACCCAATGCTACTCTCCTTCACAGCCCCTCATGTAGAAGAAGAGTCAGGGCATGGCAGTTTGTAACAAAACCATTCTTGTCCCAGATAGGCCTGATCCTGATCCTAGATGAGCAGTGATGCATGGAGATTGACTAGTGTGACGCGCCGTTTAACCCAAACGATCCTGAAGTCCGGTGCCATGCACAACTCAGCCAAATGCAAGGATCTTGCTAAACAAACTTGGCACATCAATGAAAATTTTATCAAGTTTGGTTGATAAGATAACTGTGTTGATGTAATATACTTGGACTTCTGTACGGCATTTGACTAAGCACTGCACGACATTTTGATTTAAAAACTAGCATTATTAAAAATCAATAATTCACGTTAATTAGATTAAAAAATCGCCGATAGATTTCAAAATGTAATTGTTAATGGGAAATCAGCATTGATCAAGTTTGGAGGTTCTAGTAGAGACCTGCAGGGTTAGTGTCTTGACCCAAAGCTATTTAACATTTTTATCAAAATACAAAAACATTGCTTAGAACATTTGAAGAAGCCAAAAAAGTTGGCATGAGGAATAAACTTCCAGTAAGTGACATATCTACATTGCTTGGTAAGCTGGATGCAAACAAACATACATTTTAATGAAAGGTTTCAGAGTAGCAGCCGTGTTAGTCTGTATTCGCAAAAAGAAAAAAGAAAAGGAGTACTTGAGGCACCTTAGAGACTAACCAATTTATTTGAGCATAGGCTTTCGTGAGCTACAGCTCACTTCATCGGATGCATAAAGTGGGAAGTACAATGAGAAGATTTTATATACACACAGACCATGAAAATATACACATTGTAAGGAGAGTGATCACTTAAGATGAGCTATTACCAGCAGGAGACTGTGGGGGGGGAGAGAAAACCTTTTGAAGTGATAATCAAGGTGGGCCATGTCCAGCACATTTCCAGGAGTTAACAAGAACGTCTGAGGAACAGTGGGGGGATGGGGGAGGAATAAACAAGCCCCCCCCACTGTTCCTGTTGGGTTTTTCTTTTTTGTTTACCTGCATATATAGTGCAGCCTTTCATTATATTATGACCACTAGCTGTTCGTTATTTAAATGGGGATCCAGCTGCCAAGGGAAAGTCAAGACTCTGAGTGTGCCTGTGTCACGGCACTAACGACAGCTTTAAAAAAAAAAAAAAACAACAACTGCCAGATGCTAACTGAAAATTGCAGAGCCACACGTCCCAGTTACGTGCCAAATGGATGACCTTGTGTTTATATTTTAAATGAAGCATGTGGTAGCAAATGTTAATAATGGCAGATGTAAAAAATGCAAAATATGGATGTTGCTAACCCTCACAATTTATTGTGCATCTCACAATATCTGATGTTTTTCTTAAAACCTCAGTTCCTGGAGTGATATTGATTTGTGCAGATCTCAACTTTCAGTGACGACAAAGTAAAAACTTGAGAACATGACCCAACTGCATATTAAAGATTCAAAACTCAGAAGGCAAATAAAGAATCAAAATTGTTTCTTAAAAATAAACCCTCGTGGCTTCTAAGTCAATCTCTCAGGCTTTTTTGGTTGTTTTTTTTTGGGGGGGGGGGATTTGACTCATTGTTTTTGAGCACTTGGGGACGGTGGTACTGAAATCATGACTAAGTGCTTGGGTTCAGTGACCAGGAATTGCCTTGCAGTGGGAACAGCAGAACATGTTCTCAAGAAAGAGAGCACACATACCTAAATGAATTGTGCTGTGCCAATGTCTACACTACGTGGTCTCCAGCAAGAGATTAATGAAAGCAGCAACTCAACAATCTAACACAGAAAATGACACAAAGGCATGTAACCAGCCTATAGTGCACTGTTCTGGGACTAAGGTTCCTGGCAAGGAGCCCTTTTCTCAGTCCTGAATAGACATGCGAGATCAGTCACAAAGATTGTCCTTAGCCTTACCTCATGCACACTGTTATATGAATGATGGGCATTATGAAGTATAGGGTGTGCACTATGTCTGAATTAATGTTAAGACAGCAACCTAGACGGTTGCAATTTACTGCCTTTTGAGTGTGAGATAGTTCAGCCTTAGAAGTTCATTAAGATTAGATTTTAGCATTAGCACCACACCAAGTCATTTCATATAAGTTTACAAGGCCAGGGTTTTTTAATATACTTGATTATGTCTATATTATCTTCTTGAAAGAGAATAATAACAGTGTGGCATAATTTTGAAATATTCCCATTGCACATGAGAAATGATGCTAGGGATGAGTTATGCAGGTCATCCCAAATGAGAGCAATGCTATTCTACAATACAGATTTTTCACTATTATGTAATTTTGATTTAATGTCACTCCATAAATCATGTAAACTAACATTTGGAGTAGAGTTAATCCCATTCAAATTATTACAGAATATTTTAAATTACTAATTAGAGGATCTCTACATAAAGAATGATCTACAAACTCAACACATGGCATGACACTGAAGGAAGATGAGTTTCCAGTGGTCTAGACACATACCTCTATCAATATGAATATAAGGGACGAGACGTAGACATGCTTGACTCCTACACACATCTTAAAATAATGTAAAGTTTATGTATTGGCTACTCCCGAGTCAATATGTAAAAGAAAATCAATGTGGTATTGATATCCCTCCTCCTTTCTAACATCAATTATTATAATTCAAGAAGGTATTTATTGTCCTTTTAGTCTTACTGATAGTGTCTCCATAATGCAATATAAAATCCTTGTTCCATATTATGAAGCACAGAGCACTATAAAAACCTCTTTCCACACTATAATTTACATGAGAGAAATAACTTCATATTAGCCTTAAGATAGACCATAACAGAGTGACTGTTTAGAAGAATAAAAAGGTCTCTCTCTAAAAGACTGGAGATAAAATCTTAGCTAAATATAATATCTGGTACCTTCAAGGATACTGGTGAATTCGTGGGATCCAGTTTGGCTTTATCTGTACCTAATCAGTGCCTAGTTTCTTTGCTATTGCCCTCAGATGAGCTCAGCTGTTTGAAATACTTAGATGGTTTCTGATATTCAGATAGAAAAGTTTCTTGCCCATCTTCACATAATTTAATGGACAAAGTTTGCCCTTTGTAACTGAAGAACTTGAAAGGAAATCACTGTATTTCAAACTTTCTTGCCTCCTTTATCCATTTAAACTATTCCCCTTTAATTGTCAAAGTTGAAATATTATCAAAGAGACAATTTACATCCTTCATAAGACAAACGTTAAATAATCTTTGCTGCTCTTAGAATCTTCTCGTTATCAGCACAGTTATGTTCTCAAATATCTCAAAGCCAGATGTTTCACAGTTGGAGGGATGAAGGTGCAAAACAGGGCTTTATGTACTCAATTAATCTTAAAAGAAAATTTCTGGATCTTCCAGGGTGCTGTGAAAAATATTTCAACTACCTTAACAATTCATCCTTTCCCCTCTCCTTCTGCAATAACTTTCACATTATTATGGTTAAGTCTTACTCCATTTTCAATAACTTCACATTTATTTTTTGTTAGTTTGAGGTTAGTAAACTGCCACCAGAACAGGAGGTGAGCTATTTAGCTATGATTCTGCAGCTGACATTATGCCACTCATGTCCCTCCTTTCCTATTGCAGATCAAAGATTAGGTTTTATAGATCAGCACTAGACCTGGCTGGGAATTTTATATTAGTATTTTCTGACACAAAATGTTTAATCTGTCAAACAAGTTTTCACAGAAATATATTGGTTTCTATGAACATCTTGTAGGGAAGGTTTCTCAGCCCACAACGGAATTTCTGGTCAGACAGAGAGGCCCATTCCAGAATAGCCAATAGCCCAGGGATGTGCAAGACCCAGGTGAGTGTCCTGAATCAGGCAAAGCTGGGAGTTCCACATACAAGATGAGTGCGCTAAGCAATGAGCTACTGGCTATTTTGAGGTGTGGGTCTCTTTTTTCCCCATGGAAAATTTCATGCAATGCAGAACAAAAACAAATGGCAAAATGTTTTGCTAAACTGAATTCCAGCCAGCTCTAATCTGTGCATAAAAGCACCAGTTTTTCAACAAGTTACTGGTGAAGAGTGCCTGGTGCTGGGTCTGTGGTTCTGGGAGCTCGAACTGTCCTGTTTCATTCACAAAGGGTGAAGCTGAATGCAGGTTAAGCTGAACAAATGGAACTTTGTTAAATCCTGTGCACTGCTCTGTCCACATGGGTGATATGCAGGGGTGAAAGTAACTGAGGCCACTTACAAGTACGGGGCAGGGGCCTCAGGTGGAAGGGGCGGGGCTGGAGGGGGTCAGCATCCCCCAGCCAGCCCGGCTGGCCTGCACCGTCCAGGGCTCTCATGTTGATTTAAAGGGCCCGTAGCGGCAGCGGTGTCTGGAGCCCCGGGCCCTTTTAAATTGCCGGCCCCAAGGCAGCTGCTCCCTTTGCCCCCCCCCGCCAGTCGGCGGGAGGGGGCCAAAAGGGGCAGGAACGTTAAAGCGCTGCAGGGACCTTTGCAGGGCACCGCTGATGGGTAGGGGGCAGCAACATTAAAGTGCCGTGGCGGCAAAGGACCATCCTTAAAGGGCTGCTGCAGCAGTGCTTTAATGTCCCTGCCCCTTTTGCCTCCCCTGTTGGTGGCCCTGCTGGGACGGACCCGACCGGCAGGGCCGCCGTTGGGGGGGGGGGGAGAAGGGGCAGCGGCAGCGCCTTAAGGACGGTCCTTTGCCACGGCAGCGCTTTAACATTGCTGCTTCTTCCTCTCCCTACCCCGCCCCTGTCGGTGGCCCTGCCGGTGTGGACCCTACCAGCAGGGCCGCCGACAGGGGAGGCAAAAGGGGCAGGGACAACACTTTAGTGTGGGCTGGGTATGGGCCAGTGCGGGTTCTTACCAGTATGCAGTACCAGCCCGTACCAGCTCACTTTCACCCCTGGTGATATGGTCCAGCCTGACTTCCTGTATTCCCTATTCCACTAGCATGCTGTCAATAAAATTCCCTTCAGGGAACAGTGGTCCTCTGACTGCTGTTCCCCTGGTCATGATACAAGCCCCGTGCCTGTTGTGTATTCAGGGAAGAGTCCCAATGGCAGCAAAACTACATTACAAATTAATTGAGTCACATCTGGAGTTAGAAAAATAATTTTAAAAGCTTCCTCTTCCTTTTCTATCATCTTAGAATTCAAAAATCTTTTACTGTACGCCATAGGAAGAAAATCTACAGCGTTCAGGAGAGCTGATTGATTCTTAAGGAAACAATATTAAAGACACAACTGCAAACCATCTCAATGTGAAGGAAAGATAGGAAGAACAGTAAGAAGCCAATATGGCTCCCTCAGGAGCTCTTCAATGACCAGAAAAAAATCAAAAAGGAATTAAAGTGGAAACGGATGAATTGCTAAGGAGGAGTACAAAAGAATAGCAAAAGTATATAGGGACATAATCAGAAAGGCTAACGCACAAAATGAGACACTTAGCAAGGGACATAAAAGTCAATAAGAGGAGAAAGAAAGACAAAGTAAAGTGTAGGTCCCCAACTTAATGGGGAAGGAGATCTAACAACCAACAACATCAAGGTATTTAAAGCCAAGGCTGAGATATTTAATACCTATTTTGCTTCAGTCTTCAATAAATTGGTTAATGGTAACCAGATACTTAACACAATTAATATTAACAAGAAGGAAATGCAAGCCAAAATAGGGAAAGAACAGGATAGAAAATGTTTCTATGCGTTACATGTATTCAAGTCAGCAGGTCCTGATGAAATTCACCCAAGGGCACTTAAGGAACTAGTTGAAGCAATATTAGAACCATTAGCAGTTCTCTTCAAAAACACATGGAGGATGACTGAGTAATGGAGAAGAGCAAACATAGTACTTATCTTTGAAAAGCGGAACAAGGAGGACCCAGGGAACAGTAGATCAGTCAACCTAACTACAATACCTGGAAAGATACTGGAACAAATGAACAAACAATTAATTTGTAAGCAGTCAGAGGATAACAGGGTTACAAGGAATAGCAAGCATAGATGTGTCAAGAACAAATCATACCTAACCAACCCAATTTCCTTCTTTGACAGTGTTACTGGCTTAAGGGGGAAAGCAGTAGATATTACATATCTTGATTTAGTGAGGCTTTTTATGCAGTCCCTCATAACATTCCCACAAGCAAACCAGGGAAATCTGGTCGAGATTAAAATTAGTATAAGGTGGGTGCACAACCGGTTGAAAGACTGCACTCAGAGAATAGTGATCAATGGTTCAATATCAAATTGGGAAGGCATATCTAGTGGGGTCCCACAGGGATCAGATCTGAGTCTGGCAATATTCCATAATTTTCATTAATGACTTGGATAGTGTAGTGGAGAGTATGATTATAAAATTCATAGATGACACCAAGCTGGGAGGGGTTGCAAGCACTTTGGAGGACAGGATTTAGCATTCAAAATGACCTTGACAAATTGGAGAACTGGTCTGAATTCAACAAGATGAAATTCAGTAGAGATAAGCATAAAGTACTTGACTTAGGAAGGAAAAACAAAAACACACAAATACAAGATGGGGAATAACTGGGTAGGCGATAGTATTTCTGTAAGTGACCTGAGCATTACAGTGGATCAGAAATTGAATACGAGTTAAAAATATGATGTAGTACTGGAAAAAAGACTTATATTCCAGGATATTAAGAGGAGTGTTATATATAATACACAGGAGGTGATTGTCTCACTCTCCTCACTACTGGTGAGGCCTCAGCTGGAGTACTGTGTCCAATTCCAGGTGCCACACTGTAGGAAAGATGTGGAAAAATTGGAGAGAAAGCCCCGAGGAGAGCAACAGCCACGATAAAACATTTTGAAAACCTGACCTGTAAGAAAAAGGTTAAAAAACTGGGAATGTTTAGTCCTAAGAAAAGAAGACTGAGGGGGTTCCCGATAACAGTCTTCAAATATGCTAAGGGCTGTTATAAAAAGGACATTGAAGCCCCAGTGGACATGGTGAACAGTTGATCAATCTGCAGCAAGGGAGTTTTAGGTTAGAAATTAGGAAAAATATTTCCAACTATAAGGGTAGTTAATTTCTGTAATAGGCTTCCAAGGGAGGTCGTAGAATCCCTGTCATTGGAGGTTTTTAGAAACAGGTTTGACACACAAAAAAAACCCCACACACCTACCAGTGATAGTCTAGGTTTATTTGATCCTGCCTTAGTGCAGGGGGCTGGACTTGATGATTTCTAGAGTTCCCTCCCAGCCCTACATTCCTATGATTCTATGCCAAACATTAAGCCTGGAGGACATTTTATGGCTCTCCAGAAATTATTCGCACACCTGCCTGAAGAGTTTCCTCTGTTACAAAACTTCATGAAAGAGTTCAATTTTGCCTAATCTCCTATGTTTATTCCCCCCCAATTTTTTAATTCAAGTATGGATAGCGTACAGATGTTGCCTCTCAGATCAGATAATGACTATGGGTAAAATGCCAAACACTGAAAGGAAAATAGATGGGCAATAAGCCTTTCAAATCTCAGGCTACACAGACCTATTTGCTGGAACCAGCTAAGAGAAAAATGCCTTTTTTTTTATATTTCATTTCATTTCAGGCTTTTTAGAAAACATTGTGAACAATGGAGAAGGGAAATCAATTCATAAAATATTTTAAGTGTCCAACAAATATGGATATGCATACCTATTTATACCAATTATGATACTGAGTGTAGGTTGCAAGATGGTTTCCACTATAACCCCCCTGCCATTTTCACATAATCATATTTCTGATGAAGTTTTCCATGCTTGGTTTCTGATCTAAAATGATTTTTTTTCCAGAAAGCTTAAACAAAATCCCTCCAGCCATCTGAATTCACTGGGGGTGGAAACAAAACACATTCATTTTAAAAAGATGTTCTACCCACACTTTTTTTTTTTTTAAAGAGTAGGCTATGACAAAAACTGAGGAACTTAGAAATTTACTTACTACTTGTATTACCGAAGCACCCAAGAAACTCACTCCATTGTTCTAGGTGCTGTACAACCACAGAACAAAAAGACAGTCCTGTCCCAGAGAGCTTGAAATCCAAGTATATCTGAAAGAAATGTGACACGCTTAGTCAGAACTGAGGACTTGTGCGTTTGCTTGTTTTCTAACAAATTGCTTTGCATTTAACAACGCAATGAGCACTTAAATTGTAGATCAAGAATGCACAGCTTTTTTTACATATGCACATTTAAGAAACATGAAGGGGTTAAATAATTAAGGTTGTATTTTTAAAACTTAATGCTCACATTTCCTGGCTTCAAGTTTACACAGTTAAGCACCCAAAAGTGTTCCATTACCACCCCTCACCTTGTAGAGAAGTGATGGCCAGTGTTGGGGTACCATTAAAAGCAACTAAATATCAAGACCTTAAAACTGAGGCACCCCTCAAAATGCAGTCATGGGAAAATTTCTAATTAAGCTTCTTTGTAATGATTCACAAACAAAACTGGACTTTGAATTAAAAAAAACCCCATGTTTTAAGATTAGAAACGTTGACATTAAACAATGTCATCTATAACTCCCCCGCCCCCAATAGATTGAAGGGTAGAAACATTGAAATATAAATGAAGGACTGATAAACAGTAAAATTAAAAGCCCTCTTAGCTATATTTTTTGATTTGTAACGAAGTATAGTGAATGAGTACAGATGAGGTAACACTTAGGCCAAGTCCTTGCTGGCCTAAGTGTGGTTTTGCCAATTCTTTTTTTGCATGGAATTGCTAATCTGCTTAAAGTGTTATTGATGACAGAACAAAGATAGATGTGTTGGAAGAAATAAGTAAAGGATATCATTACATGTAGAGATAAGTACCCACTGCCCTTTTTCTGGGAAGAGCCAGGGCAGGTTGACATAAAATGACATGACCCAGAAACTGCAAAACCAAGCAGGAAAAAGACAGAAGTTGGGTAACTGAAGCTTGTGCATGCACAATGTACAGGTTACCTAAAATCCAAAGGGATGATGTGCTAAAAGCCAAATTGGATAAAGGTGAAGTAATCTGTAATGTAGAAATGTATAAAAGACCTAAGTGACCATGGACCCAAACTAAACAAACTCTGGACCAAAAACTGAAGAATGGGACCAAAGGACCAGACCAATGGATCAGAGAAGGCAACAACTATCATGGAAGGTGAAAAAACTTCCTGGTGCCCCAGAATGTGGTAACTAGAGCCCATTTATCAATTCTGTCTTGTCTGTTATTATTTGTCTGTCTTAAATGCATGTCCAGACACTATAAGTGACAATTATTCTGTCAGAAATTGTATAAAGGTGAAAATTGATTAAGCCTAAATTGGGTGGACTTGTGACCTGTTTTCCCAACTTTTACCCCCAAAAGTCAGAGTCAGTAACTCAGGGTTGCTACAGGAATGGATCAGCTTGGAGCAAAGTCGAAAGGTAAGAGTCCTCCCCTTTCTCTCTCATTGGCAGCAGCCTCTGGTCCCCAAAATGTTTGTTAATGCACAGCAATAATAGAAAACTTTTCAAATAAAAGACAATCAGATTTTAAACCAATGTATAAAAAGGCCAAATCTGTTTGCTG